GCAAAAATGGTCCCTGTGGTATGCAAAATTTTGGGGTTTTAGTCCAAACCTCGAGTTTTTTGGATTCATGGTCCTTTTGGAGTGGTTTGTATGTGGATTTGGTCCCCGGATTTAACTTCCGTTAAGTTGTTGCTGTTAACCCCCCTCATGTGCCTCCCACATGAGGGTATATTTGTCTTTTCAATTGTAAGGGATCATTTTTGTAATTGAAAAAAATATATCCCTATTTTTTTAAAAAAAAATTAATACCTATTTATTTTATTTTAATAATTAGAAAATAAAAGATCCTCGCTCTCTCCTCTCTCTCTCTCTCTCTCTCTCACACACACTCACTCAAGAACAATATCCCTCAAACCTCTGTTCAAAAAACGATGTCTTTGATTTTGAATTCTGAATTCCATTGCCAAGATAATCCTTCACGACATCCCTCAAATCTTCGAATTTATTGAAGTTTGTAAAAAACCTACTCATCAATTTCTTCAATTCATCATCTCCAAGATCATCAGTGAAATGTCAAATGGGGATCGCGTTTTCCGGTTGAAGACTGTAGGAATTAAGGTTATCGTCAACAATCACAGCGTTCTTCAAATCCCACACTAGATCTGATAAATCTTTAACAAACCTACCCTCGAATTCCTTACATGAATTTCGATACAATCTGTGTGAAATCAAACCCCTGCAATCCAACTTATTCAAAACCAACGAAGTATATTCCTCGATCCCAACTGTGAAAACCACAATTTTGTAGTTATTTGTGCTCAGGAACTGAAGAAATTCGTCAACAAATGGGCGTTTCAGCACATAGAAATCAACTCTTTCTCCATCCAGCAATGACCTCACTAAGAAATCATAAGTTCCTGAAGGTGATACTCCAGTGGCAGGTGTGGAATGGATTAGGGTTTCGTCGAGGTCAAGGAACACCGTTTTTTGATCAGGGGAGTTTGGTGGTGGAAGGGCGACGGTAGATACTTGGAAGAGCGAGCGACAGACGGTGGCGATCTGATTGTTAGTGGAGTTAGGGAACTTTTTTTGAACTTTGTAGCCTTTTTTGACGGAGGATTTACTCTTGGGAGTGGCAATACGAACGAGTTTGGAGAAGAGTTTGATGAGACGGTGGTGGCATGTGTAGAAGGATTTATTGATGGAGGAAACTACTATGGAGGTTGTCTTGGTGGCGGTGGTAACGGGAGTCTTCTTGCAGCGGCGGAGGTTACGGTTAGCCGGAGATCCTTTTGACTTCTTAGCTTTGAGGGATACTATGAGAGAGAGAGAAAGAGAGAGATCTTTTATTTTTTAATTATTAAAATAAATAAATAGGTATAATTTTTTTTTAAAAAATGGGTATATATTTTTTTCAATTGCAAAAATGGTCTCTTATAAGTGAAAAGACAAATATACCCTCATGTGAGAGGCACATGAGGGTGTTAACAACAACAACTTAACGGAAGTTAAATCCAGGGACCAAATCTACATACAAACCACTCCAAAAGGACCATGAATCCAAAAAACTTGAGGTTTTGACTAAAACCCAAAATTTTGCATACCACAGTGACCATTTTTGCAATTTTGTCAACATTTTAAATACACAATGATCTGCTCCAAAACAAGAAATAAATGACATAACAAATGGCATACATAAGGAACATATAGTTAAAAAAATAAAATTGGACCGCCAATGTAATTTGCTGACAATTACATTGACCATTTTTATAACTTACTCTAATACTTATTTACACAAAAAAATCAATACAAATGAAACCAGCAACATAAACCACACACTAACAGCATATTTTAAAGATAAATTTGAACATTTCAAATATATTCTCTATATTTCGAGTTAGGGTTTTCGTTTTAGATATTCTACTCAAACATGATTATTAGATAAAATGGGTACCATACTTCGAATTTTATTTATTTAGACCAACAAATCTATGGTCGAATACCGTATTCAAAATATGTAATAAAATTTGTAAACTACAATGTTTTTAAATATTGTATCGTACAAGTCTATAAAACATAAATTGTTGTGTATGAATAAAATCTGTTGTTTATAGGTTTGACAATTGTATTGTGTTCGAGTTAGCAAGTCGTGGATCGGCAGATTGGCGGGTCAAAATACACCAACCCGAACACAATCATTTAACCATACATGTCACGGGTTGGCGAGTTTGGAACATAAACTCATATACAACCTGTCAACCCACTTATTTATACAAGTTCATAGGTTGACAGGTTTGTGGGTTAGATTTGGGTTCGTGGGTTTGTGAGTCAGATTTGGGTTTGTGGGTTCGTGTGTCAAAATCCATAAATAAAATAGATAATTAAGCATGAATAAATTCTAGATGTAAATGAAGAAACTATTCACCGTTCACACTTCACATACCGATACACATACACTAATACATACATATTATTTAACAGATTACACACAAATATTAAGCAACAATTCACGTAAACATTACAAAATTTGTAATACAGATTAAGCAACTATGTATCAATGTGTGAAAGTTAGGAATTTAAGCACATATAAACATTAGTACATTACAACTTAAGCAACATATCAGAAATCTAGTCATCGAAAACAAAAGATTGAGAGAAAATAAGTGAAGAAGTGCAGAGCAGTAACAACAAATCGATCGCAGGTTGGAATCGGAAGTCAATTGTTCAGGCGCAACAACAACATATCGTGTTCGTCGTTTAGGCGCGACTCATTGTTCAGGCGTCGTTCAATGACTTCAATCGTTCATCAGTATTTAGTGCCACCGTAATCGTTTTTTATTCATGAGAGGGCTTATTCAATTTTGTATTTGTGAGTTTATTCAGGGCAAACGTGGTGCAAATCAGCAAATGGTTAATGCCATGCGTCAAATGGTCAATAACCTTATGGAAGATAAATGTATCTTACATTCCTACGAATAATACCTAATACCTTTAAAAAATATATAATTTTTTAAATCAAAACTCTAAACGAATTGACAGGTTAGCCCGTATGTTTTTTTTGATAAACTCATATATAACATTATTTAACAAACGAGATTGCAGGTTGTGAAACTCAAATGTATTGTATCAAAAATTAACAGCCCAGTGATAAACATGGTGTTTATTATTTTTTCTCTTATTTATTTTTCTAACTAAGGTACACACAACACTACCGTGAACCCCAGCACACCATAACAAAACACCAATGGGCTTTCAAGATTAGGTTTAAGCCATATTGACATTACATGCCGCCTTGGTAGGGTTTTTCTACCGCATCCCCACTTCTTTTTCCCTCCCGTTTTGCACACATCTCTCTCACTTCTTCTGTAACGTCTGATTGAATCGATTCATGGTCACAATACACTGTTTATAGGGATTTTCATACTCATTCGTACTCAATTCTTAATCGGAAAGTTCGAGTTTTTTCGTTTTTGTTTCGAAAAAAATGTCGTCAACCAACCCTTTCGATCTTTTGGGCGATGATGATAACGATGACCCCATTCAGCTTTTAGCTAAGCTTCCGGTGGCTGTTCCAACCACCAAGAAATCTCCGGTTGGTGGTGCTGTTGCTAAGCCAGCAGCCAAGCTTCCTTCCAAGCCGCTTCCTCCTGCTCAGGCTGGTACGTATTATTGCTTCCGTTCTGTATAATTTCTTCGAGCCGTGATGCAAATTAGAAATTAAACCTATTGATCTGGATGATTACTTATGGTTTTCCACATTATGCGATGAATGTGCATAGATATCCCCATTTATACAACGTATTGATTTGATTTTGTGCATTTTAACCGAGTATACATTTCGATTTTCACGTACAGTGCGAGAGGCGAGAAACGATGGTCAACGTATCGGAAACCGTTTTGGTGGCCGTGGAACGGGCAGAGGAGGACGTGGTGGTTTCAATCGCGAATCAGCCGACGATGAGAATTCCTTTGGCAACAACAATGGATTCTCCGGTGGTTACAGAGCTTCTGAGAATGGAGACGCCGATAAGGCCACCGAAAGACGTGCACCCCGTTATGGAAACCGCGGCGGACGACGCGGCGGCTACGCTAACGGAGACGCCACAGAAGGTGAACGCCCGAGAAGGGTTTTCGAACGCCGCAGTGGAACCGGCCGAAGGTTAGTACTTCTCTACATCTTAAACTCAACTCCATAGTTCGATTCATGATCTGATTCATCGGTTTCTTTCTGTAGAAATGAGTTCAAGCGTGAAGGTGCAGGTCGTGGCAACTGGGGAACCGCCACCGATGAGGTTGCACCGTAAGTACACAAATCCTACCTTCTTTTTTCTGTAAAGCAAACCTACAAAACCTTTATAAATCTTTCTTTGATTCTTTGTAGTGAGACTGAAGAACCTGTTACTGAAACTGAAAAGATTGTGGATTCTGAGAAACAAGAAAATGGAGCAGATGCCAACCAGGAGAACACTATCGATGTGGTAGAGGAAAAGAAGCCAGAAGAGAAGGTGAAATTACTTTTCCACCCTTGTTTACCCAAACTTAAGATACTCCCATATTTTGTTGTCATCTTCTAGATCTTTAATCACAGGAGATGACCCTTGAGGAATATGAGAAAGTTCTAGAAGAGAAGAGGAAGGCATTGACCTCTTTGAAGACTGAGGAAAGAAAAGTTGGGTTGGACAAAGATTTGGCAAAAATGCAATTGCTTTCCAACAAAAAGAATGAAGAAGACATCTTTGTTAAACTGGTAAATCTTTCATTAAAATCCATTTTTCATATATATATATATCTATAGTTTTAATTCCATTTTCTGATTAGGGTTCTGAGAAGGATAAGCGAAAAGAAGCTGCTGATAAGGAAGAAAAAGCCAAGAAGGTCAGTAGTTAAGGCATACATATTGTGTTAAGACATATAGTTGTTGAAGTTTGTCTGATTGTTTGATTATGTAGTCTGTAAGCATTGAGGAGTTTCTGAAACCTGCTGAGGGGGAAAGGGTCAATGGACGTGGTGGCAGGGGGCGTGGTGGAGGACGTGGCGGTGGGGGGTTTAGAGGAGGTTATGTAGGTGGGGCCCGGATGAACAATGTGGTTGCACCATCGATTGAGGATGTGGCTCAATTTCCATCTTTGAGTGTCAAGTGAGATGAGATGAGTTGAGTTGAGAGGTGTTATTTTTCTTCATCTTTTTATTAGGGTTTTTGATTAGTAGTGTTTGATGAGAGATGTTTGGTGTTTGGTATTTAAGACTTGTTTTAAGGATATGATATTATGGTGTTTTTGTAAGAGTGTAAATCTTGAAGATAACCTTTGTATGGCTGTTACATGCCCTTGGGTTTCTTTCAGTTATGACTCATCAACCATTTTAATTTATAGTCAATGGTCTCTTTTTTGGTATGCTTTTGTTTTGTGTTTGGAAATCTAGTTATTTTATTTTCTTTAACATTGTTTAAAAGTATCGTATAACATCTTAAAGTTTTATAAACAAAAGTAGTGGAATTAATCTAGGATGTGGAATTGATCAAATTATGCGTTGTGACAGGTTAAACCTATGTTGAGCAGTTATGGTCTTTGGGTCTATTGTTATTTGAGAAATTTTTAGTAAAACCTAACTTCTTATGTGTACATGCTCAATAAAAAAAAAACAAAAATTTGTTTTTGTATGTCTATTTAAACACATATTATTATTATGTACCAATCATTTCTGATTTTCTTAATAAAATTCCGGATTAGATTAATATGGAAAAATACAAGTCATTATCTTTGTGAAATAAAGAATAGTTCGTCAACTTTTACTTGACCTTTTCTAAATCTTGTGAAATGGATCTCAATCTTTTGCATCAACTTCTTGTTTCAACTTGTAATCGTCATACAATTATTATATATCTTCTAAATACAAAAGTCGGTGGCCACTTCATTTGATTTTCCACCCTTCCACTTTTTTTATTTTTCATTTTCAGTCCTTTGTTTATAAAATAATATTCTTTATATCTTATTTGACTTTCTTCTATTGCCTATTGGACATATTATATCCCTTTAATTTGGAAAATGACATTTTCTTTCCTATACTTTTTTAAAATAATGCTTTTACCCACTTTAAGTTTTGGTCTTTTTAAAATGGTACTTTCATCCTTCCATTTTACACTCTATTTTTTAAAATGTCTCTTCTTTATCCCATGAACTTTGAATTTTTCCAGAATATCACTTTAACCCCTTTCATTTCTTAAACTTTCCTTTTTTATCCTATACAATATAGTTACCACTTCTCGACTTTATAAAATGTTAATATATATATATATATATATATATATATATATAATATATATATATATATTTTCATGACTATTTTTAAGCATTTTACATGACATGACTTTATTCCAGACTTCTATTCTTTGGCAGCTGAAGTCCACCTAAGTTCCATACATGACTTAGGTTCCTGACTTTATTGGTTTGGCAACATAAACCCTCTTAAATTCTTATT